TGCAGTCGTTAATCTGGGATCCATTTCGATGCTCCTCTTGGCAGCCCCTTTCGTCCTCTCCGATGGACCTGGACGACCCGGACGCTGCTCAGTTGTTTCCTTGCCGTGTTTCCTGAACTGCCCGATGATTCTGTTGACTGTCGAAAGCGAAATTCCCAAATTCTGCGAAATTTGCCGCTGACTTATTCCACCATCTGCTTGACCAACTATCCCTCCTCTAACAAAATCTGACAATTCGAGAGAACCTTGAGTTCTGGGCATGTTGTAGCACAAGTTAATTAGTGCGCGGACCATTTTTATTTATATAGTGCTCTGTGAACACAAATTAGTTAGCATAAATCAGTTAAATGACGAAAAATTAGGTGTCTATTTACTTGTGACCACTCAGTGTATGTAACGACTCTGTGTGTGAATGGCATGGCCAAGTGGTTAGGTCGCTGTTTCGAATTCCCGTTCCACTAAACAGCCGTGGGTGCGTTATAATATGACGGTCAATCCCACTATTCGTAGGTAAAAGAGTAGCCCAAGAGTTGGCGGTGGACGCTCATGACTAGCTGCCTTCTTTCTAGTCTTTTACTGCTAAATTAGGGACGGCTAGCGCAGATAGCCCTCGTGTAGCTTTGAGCGAAATTAAAAAACGAATGTTTTCTGATTGATCGAAATCAGTATCGTTTTCTCTGTGTATTTATTTTCAGTTTTTGATGTGAGACCTCAGACGTTCTTGTAGATGATTGCTATTTAACCTCTTGCTTTAATTTCTTTATGTCGAGCTTTGCAGTATTAATAGCCGAACACATACGTTTACGATACATCTTGTGAAAAACTATCAGCTTTCGAGAAAATTTGGTAAAGCAAAGATGCACAGAACCAAACTCTTAACTGGCTTGTTTACAGAGTGAACTTTAACGTTCTACTCCACTTAAAACGGTCCTGTTCACGTTTTTCTTATTTCACTTCCATGCTATTTAACCTACAGCATAGGCTAAATTTATATATGTACGTATAGTTAAATAACGTCTATAGCTTTTATCGTATATTTTGAGATATACGCACAGTATAAATGAGTTAAATGTTATGTGTAGTTAACACTAGCACTGTTTTCTGTTATGTCTGTAGTATAATGCACAAGACGACGAAAAAAAAACACATCATATAATGGAAACAGCTTTTATTTAGCTATTTATCTATATTTGAATTATTTTTATATGATATATTATTGGATTAATTTGAAGATATTGTTTCTTTTCTACGCCAGGACTGGTCCTTGGAATGGATGTAGCATATATTACCTTCAGACGAATTCTGTATCATGATTGCTTCAGTTGCAACTACTACTGTTTTGTTGTTATACTTATGCTGTGGCTTTGCCAAGGAAATATGGCAGCAAAGTATTAAGGATTTTCTCCACTCTTCCGTCGATTTTAGTGACCCTATGTTTTATCGTAATAGCAACTCTTGCTCAATCGCGGGTGTGGAAGGAGCTCTTCAGGTTTCTGATCAGTCTTGCACTCACATTCCCTCTCAGGACCTTAGAAACACAGAAGTAGCCACTCTAATCATCCAGGACACCTCAATCATCTCTATCGCCAGTGACACCTTTGAAAATAACACTATTTTGACGACCTTGGAAATAATTCAAAATAGGATAACAGATATTCACCCTTTCGCTTTCCGTGGCTTAAACAACCTTCGCTTTCTTAATTTAGCGGCGAACGCCATCTCACGGCTAAATCGAGATGTTTTTACTGGACTACAAAATCTTGAAGAAATTATTCTTTTAAGAAACGAAATCAAAGAACTGAGCGACGTTATTCCAGCTATGGCACCATCCATTCTCCCATCTCTATTACACATCGATTTGGGTGCTAATCCGTTGCAGACCGTGAAAGCTGACGATTTTGACCTGCTTAAAGAGGGCAAACTGGAATATCTGCGATTACATCACTGTTCTTTAATTAGTATTGACCCACAGGCATTCACCCCACTTAAAAAGCTTTTGGGTATACAACTTGCGGACAACAAATTGACCATAAAAAACTTAAAAGAAATATTTATAAATCTGCAAACCATGAATTTAATAAGAATAGACTTGGCCCAACTAGGGTTTCGGAAATTTCCCACGGATTTATTTTCAATTTTAGCAAAGACTTCCATCCAAGAAATATTTTTTGGGAAGTTTGAAATCAATATTATTAAAAAAGGAAGCTTTCCTGTAATGCCTAACCTTATAACTTTACACATGCCTTCGTCTCGCCTTAAAGGAATTGAAAATGACGCTTTTGCTCCTTTGTACAGTTTAAAAAATCTTTATTTGAAAGGTGCTCTAATAACTAGTATTCCCAAAGCTCTTTTACTTCCACAGCTGGAAGTTCTAGACGTTACTGGGTTTGTTAATAATCCTCTTCGTTTACACATTCCTGATTGGGCATTTGTTAACATGGGTAACCTGAGAGAACTTACTTTGAATTATAGAAGTTTAGTAAGTCTTCAGAACGAAACTTTTTTTGGACTTTCTAGATTAGAAAGATTAAGCTTAAAAAAATGTAGAATAAGTTACCTTAATCATCCCTTTTCAAATCTACGATCTCTTACTTTCCTAGACCTGAGCGAAAACTCCTTGTTTCAAGTTGAAACAAAAGCTATCGGTTTATTTTCCGGCTTAACTAATTTAGTACATTTAGACATTAGTAGGGTTTATTTAACAGAATCAGAAAATGGAGAACTTTTTCACGACTTGACGAAATTAGAATTCATAGATTTAACTGGAAACTCATTTAAAAGCCTTTCGGCATCTTTGTTTTCTAATTTACGAAACTTAAAAGTTGTAAAATTATCACAAAATCATATTAAGTCCTGGGAGAGTAGAATTTTCTTAAGAAACTCCAATCTCTCTAAGATAGATTTATCACAAAATGCCATCCAACATATTTCCAAAGCAATGCTAGAGGACTTCAAAATTTTGAAAGAACTGAGTATACAGAAAAATCCCTTTTCCTGTACTTGTGAATTAATGGATTTTTTATTTTGGTTAAATCATACGAATGTGTCTGTGGCGCATATGAAAACTGTTAAATCTCGATTCTTTTACGTTTGTTCCGAACCTTCTCGTATGCAAAACTTCCCATTGCAGAATGTGTCATTAGAATTACAACATGAATGCCTAAATTACATAAATACCCAAAAGCATAATGCTCTGCTTTTGATCACAATTGCCGTTATTTTAAATGTTGTTTTTGTCATTGTTATTGGAGCCTACTTATACCACCAGAGGGTTCTTAAAAGAAGAGCTCATGAATTGAGTGATGACGATAAACAATTTCAATACGACGCTTTTGTGTCATACAGTGCATGCGACTCTGACTGGGTGTTTAATTGCTTAGTGCCGAAATTAGAGAACGAGACAGCTAACCTAAAACTCTGTGTGTACGACCGCGATTTCTTAGCTGGACGAAATATTAGTGACTGTATTTTAGACAGCATCAAAAACAGCAGGAAAGTCATTCTCGTTCTTTCACCCAACTTCATTCAAAGTCGTTGGTGTCGATTTGAAACCGAACTGGCGCAGCACATGTTGGTTGATGAAAGCAGGGAGGGTTTGGTGCTTATTAAGCTGCAAGACTTGAATCTCAATGCTTTGACTCCGCAGCTCAACTATCTTCTGAAGACTAGAATTTATCTCGTTTGGACCAATGATCAGCAACAACAGGGGATTTTCTGGAAGAAACTTCATAGAGCTATAACTGAACAAAGAGATAAAAGGAAGGCTATAACCTCGAAAAAGAAAAAAATGGCAACCATTATTTGAGAATATTTAGCTCAAAGTTACAAGTTTTTGCCAAAATACAGTCAAATGAAGAATCTTGTAATTATCATTTTTTTCTTGCATCTCAAACTGATCCCGCGGGCGGGAGAGATTCATTGTTATTTGAAATGTTCATCACTTAAATATAAAAAAATATGTTTTGTAATTCATCGTTTTAGTTGTTTAAAACTAATTGTTCATTTAATCTAATTATAGTTTTACTAAGGATGATAGGAGTAATGGTTAGTTATAATAACTACCGTGCGATTTGCAGTCACAACAGTTGTTGAATATTACAGCAAGTTTAAGTTATTTGTTTTGCCATTCTGTTAAGATTACTTTGAACCTACTATTTATGATAATTGTGTAATTCCTACAACATATTGAAATAATAAAAGTAATTACGTATGCGCATTAATGAAATACTGACAATAAATTTCTTTAGGAAGAATTTTTCATTGTTCGTTAATACAAATATAAAATGAACTTCTTAATTAAAACATTTTAGATATTTTATGATTATAGTTGTCTATTTATATTTTCACATATCTGGCAAATTGAGACTCTTGTCCACATGTCTACTTTTTTTACATTTCCAATGTAAAAATGGCGAATTTTTTTCTGTTATTTCAATTAATTTGAAACAATGTAAGCCTCAACTTCACGAGTATATTTTTGTAATTTTGATGAATTTGTATAAAAAATTTAGTACGACCGATATATATATATATTACCAAAAGTCAGCATTTTTATTCGTTATAATTGTATTACATAAGTAGCTAGTAAATATAATTGTTAATTTGAATTTATATATAATGAACGTATTAACTTAGTTTTTCTTTTCACTGTCAGGCGGCTAAAATAATTTCACAATAAGTATGCATAAGTTAACATAATTCATTGTTAATAGTTTGTGTAATATATAAAGTTAAGTGACTTTCGACATCAGATACGGAATTTCATTCATGCTTATTGAAAAGTCTAAACTGAAAAGTTGCTGTTAATAAATTGTTATAGTAAAAATTAACATTTATAAAGTATATGTTTAATAAGTTATGTAAAATACGATTTCATATTTTTGAATTAAAATGCTTACATTCAATTGGCTGTTTCCGTGTAAAGTGTGTGAAAGAACGAACTTTTAAACGTGCTATTTTAAGCAGGAAGATTCCTAGGGATTGAATGTCACTTTCAATTACTTCCACACTACAGTAACGCAAAATTATAGTTATGTTTTAACACTATTCTGCAATTTTGTTTTAGCAAAACTACTCCCTTAATCTAATTATTACATTGTCGTCGTACTGTTCTATCGAATCATTGCAAGCATTCTAATAATTGCAATGTTATAAATGTAATGGTACCACTCTGTAATAATGAAAAAAAAAATCAATTTAACCATTGCTACGTTGTTTCTATCATGATACCATTGTACAATTGAAAAAATGTCTTGGTTTTCTCTCTGCCACGTCGATATGAAAGAACAAACAAGGATCTAATCTCAATGCTTTCAAAACTGCTATTTATATCTAACAGATTTTCAATAACGTTTTATTTTCATACTTAAAAATATTCAGAATAGTTCTATGAAAAACAAATACTAATCAGTAAGTTCACTTGAAGACCACGAATTAAAAGAATTTAAATCTGTTTGTACAAGCTTTAAGAATGTTTACAGAAATAACACTGAAACATTATTTTTACCTGTTAAGCATAACTTAACCTTTCGAATACGAAAGTACAGTAAACGGTTAAAACTTAGTATACACGAACACAAAATATTTAGGTAAAGTATAAAATTAGTCAACAGAGGGTGGAGTTTAACTGAGACACACTGTGGGAATTTTTACGAGTGAATAATCAAATGACCGCTGGATTTGAATACTCTCCAATGAACACTTTGAGGTTTTTTTATTGATGAAACGGTGAATTTTTACCTATTTTGAGTGAAATATATTTTAAGGGTTTTCTAATAACATTAATAATTCACTTCTCGAGGACCAGTCTCGTCGTTTAGTTTGTTTTAGTACAAGGTTACTGAAAAGGGGAGAAATTCTCCGAAACAGATCCGACTCATGGACATGTGATAAACCCAAGAATATATTTTGATAATCAAAAATTAGGAATTGGTTTGAGCTAGTTAATGCTAAGGAACACGAGGTTATGAAATAACAAAGTCTAATTCAATGAAAAATACGTTTTATTAACTAATTTATATACATAACTTATAAGCAGATAAGTTATTAACACTGATACGAGAAAATCTTCTTTTATTTAATTTAAGATTAATCGATAGATGCCAAGTATATAATTAAATTATAATGGACCTTATGAATAACAACATTTGCCACGATAGGGAAAGCTACAACAAAGAAAATCCTTTATTTATTCAAGAACAATATATAAAATTTATTGTTGGTTTCATGTTATTTCCCTTTGTGTCGTTCTAACGGTTCGGATTTACACTAGATACGACTTGCAGTCTGAATCAAGACTAGACTTTAGATAATAAGTTAAGCCTATTTTAAATCTTTTAGTACACAATTCAAATAGCTATCTTAATTATCCTCTATCCATTTTTGAACTTAATTGGATTTCAAGAAAATGATCTTAAAGTTACCAGATGTCTCTGTATCGCTCACAGACTTTGATTTAGAAAAATACTAACATCAAGGAAGTTTTTTATTTATTTACATGGAAACAAAGTATAATTTTATATTCTTAATAACTGTATGAGTTAAAAAGCATTACGTATCACATTTACATAATGTTGTCAGACAAGAAGAGCTTGAATCTTACTCAAAGTAAAAATAAGTTAAATTTCATTTCTACTAAAGATGAAAGTGTAATATTTCATTTTAAGATTCAAGAAATTCGTTAGATGGAATTCTGTCAATGGATTTCACTAATGCTTTAAAACAATAAATAAAATTGCATAATATAAACAGTTGCGTTAACAAATCAGAACATAACTAATTAATAGGTTACTAAAGTTTGGTGTGAACAAACTAGTTTTTACGTTTGAGAAATTGTATTCTTATTTCGTAAATACTAAAACACACAAAAACTTGAATATCAAGATTTATGCTGTAGTTTTCTCTGATTTTTTAAAACTAACTAACATAGAAGTAGCGGAGCTACAAGTACTTAATATATAAATCGACATACAAAATCAATTTTTATGGACAGTGCGGTACCAGCAACTGAGCAAATTAGGACACATTATCACTTTAGTTTACGTACCAAGCGACATCTATTGGTTACTTAATAGGTTACAAGTAGCTTTACATGAAGTGTTTATCTACTGGATAGGACTTGTAACTGTTTTTCACTTGAGAATGGAAGAATAGGATGGAATGCTTAATTTTTGAATAGACAAACTGATAGTTCTAAAAACCACAGATTGCTCTGCGGAAAATTGTTTTCCTTCATATCTTGCTTCCAGTTTAAAGTAATAGCGTTTTCCCATTAGAAATTAAATGGTTTTGACACGTGAAATAACTTGAAATTTTTAAGCATGTGACCTCTCAGTAAACGTTATCTTATTTATTTTCAAAGTGAATATTAATATTCATGAGTAGACAGTCATCAGGATCATCTAGGGAAAAAAAAAAAAGATTAACCAACAGATATATTTCTGTTTTTCACCAAAGAGATAGAACATGTTTAATTCTGCAAGGTTACAAATTACATATTTATAAGTCCCCCATTAGGTAAGCAGTAAGTTTACGGACTTACATCGCTAAAATCCCAGGTTCGATTCCTCGTGGTGGACAGATAGCCTATTGTGCAACTTTGCGCTAAAACAGTTTGTTTGTTTTTGAATTTCGCGCAAAACTACACGAGGGCTACACGTTAGCCGTCCCTAATTTAGCAGTGTAAGACTAGAGGGAAGGCAGCTAGTCATCACCACCCACCGCCAACTCTTGGGCTACTCTTTTACCAATGAATAGTAGGATTGACCGTCACATTATAACGCCCCCATGGCTGAAAGGGCGAGCATGTTTGGTGTGACGGGATTTGAACCCGCGACCCACAGAGTGCGAGTCGAGCGGCCTAACCACCTGGCCATGCCGGGCCGCTAAAACAGACAAACATACATAGAAATAATGAAACTGAAGCACCCTCTAACGATGAACGAGAGAAATGGTTTAATACTTTAAGTAGAATGCAACTTTACTGATTTAAAAACATTTTTCAGACAGTGACAAAAGTAACTACTATTATTATAATTCCGATAAATAATTAGAAGCAGATTATTTATGTATATGTTTTAATTTAAGTGAACTGAAAAACAAAAAGCGACACTTACATTTTTGCCTTAGTGTCGACTAAATTCCTGAGAAGGAATACGTTCTTTCTTACTGTATATTTAAATAGTATCAAATAACATGAATAATATGTTATCATTGTTATTTTTGCAACCACTCAAATATTTCAACTGGTATATTGTGCTTTACTATTACAATGTATTTTGTTTGTTTGATGGTTGAATTTCGCGTAAAGTTACATAATTTTCAAGTGATAGACTAGAAGATGTTTGTTTGTAATTAAGCACAAAGCTACACAATGGGCTATCTGTGCTCTGCCCACCACGGGTATCGAAACCCGGTTTCTAGCGTTTTGTAAGTCCGCAGACATACCACTGGGCCATTGAGGAGCAGACTAGAAGGAAGACAGTTAGTCAACATTACCCACTACCAATTCTTGGGCTACTCCTTACTATAGAAAAGTAGGATTGACTGTCACATAATTACGTATGTACGCCTGAAAGGGCGAGCATGTTGGTGACGGAAGTCGAATCCGTGCCCCACAAATCGTGAGTCGAGCGCTCACCAAGCCATGCCCAACCCTCTTCAATTACAACGCAAGTGAGTTAGTGTTGGATAGTTAATTATGTATGTTATTCATATTAATCAAATTTTACATCCATATTTCTTGTTAAATTATACAAATTCTAGTATAACTGAGAACTTTAGCTCATATTCAGCACATTATCATATTTTTTCAGTAAGTCTATCTCTTGGTATAAATTTAGACAAATATAAACTATATTAGAAAGGTCAACGTTCGCAAGTGAATGTAGTATGTATTTTCCATCTACATTATTCGATAAGATCCTCAGAATACAGTAGATATTAAGAGAGATTGGTATTCAAGGCAGGGGAAGGGGCATAAACTACAACATATATACTTCGAAGGGATACACACTTAACACTTATCAATCTGAGACTTCTTTGTGAGAAAGATGTATTTGGAGTATAAATTATGACCTTATAATACATAGGTCGGCCAGTTACTAAGTAAATAGGGAATAAATATTTGGGCAAATAAAACTCGGTATATAGAGGAACGACAGGTCAAAAATTTTAATTCTGTGAAATATTTTGACCTATGACTCCTGTAAAATCACGAGAAAGTCACAAATCTAATATCGGCTTGGTTCAGTCTTGAGGGTTTGTCGTAAGTTGTCTTTGTGCAAAGAAATAGCAATACAAAGCTCTAAATTTGCGAATTTCTTGAACTTTGAATCGTATGAAATCAAAATAAAGCCACAAATTTCACATCTGTCTATGTTGGTACGCGGTGGTTGTTACAAGATATCTCAGTGCCAAGTATTACCTGAATTGGTCAAAGTGTATAGAAACAGAAGTTCCAAAACCCTAATTTTTCAATTTGTCTTTAACTTTAACTATTGTAAAATAAAAACAAAGCAATAAATCTAAAATCAAAGTTTGCCTGTTTTAATCCATGGAGGAAGAGGAAGCTTTTTTGCAAGGTATGTTTGCGCCAAGTCTCATTTCAACTGATGGAAATATAGTGGAAGTGCACGCCAAAATATGTATATATATTTTAAATTTGTACCCTTTGAATCACTAAAATCAGGACGAGGACCTACACCAAAAAACGAACAAATTCTCTGGGCATACTGTATCAAAGTACATGCTCTCTATGTTTCAAGATGATTGGCCCAGAAGTAAAGGAGTGGTAACTGTATTTATTGGAAAGAAGAAAGAAACATAGGAAGCACCATTTACCTCTTCTAGCTACCAGTCTTTTGTATCCTATAAAAACGCCGGTACATTCATACCTCCCAGGGCTGTTATAAACCTTTCAGTGAAAGTATATATTGTCTGAGAGAATTATTTCGATATTCAATTAGAAAACAAAACTAAAATCGAAAATTTTGTAATGAAATAGACTTTAACGAAGCTATCTTCAAATTTTAATATAACTTAAAATGAAACAAGACGTAGAAATAAGCAACTGTAATTTAAATATTTGTTAATTTTTTAAAATAAACGATCCATAATTCAATCATACCTCTTCTAACGACAGGGAGTTTTCTCTCATCTTCCTTTCGATTGTTTTATACCTTTCTGAAATAGAAAACGTCCACATTAACAATCTTCTATCATACTTTTATGTGTTAAATCATACACATTTAGCAAATTTTATGTAGGACGCTGGTCCTAGACAGATTTTCACAACCCGATTAAAGCAAGTATAATCCAGACATTTCGCACTTATATATATTAAATTTTACGTTGCAGTTACCAGCCATTTTTATGACGAAACAAAACCATGAAGACGACATAATCGAACTTAAGTACAACCATCATGAGGTGTGATATAAGGAACACAATGTCATTCTGAATTTTTTTTTCAAGTGAAATATCGCTATATAACTGTTAACTGGTAATTCATTCTGTATGATCGGACTGTTGAAACAGACGCTGGGAAAACCACCATCCTAGTACACTAGACAGATTATAACAACATTACAGGGAGGAGTGGTGTATTTTGTGGAGATTTTATAACTAAAACTACGCATTTGGCTATTGTAAATGTGAATGGTTGTCTGATAGAGGTTGACTGAACGTGGCGACATGGATTGTAAAGATATGATGAGGCTCGAAAATTTTAATATAATGTACTCAGCACTCTGCATAACTAAAAAATATTATTATAAATGTTGATACTTTTGAGAAGATAAAACAACTCAAACTTTTATAAGGATAAGCTTCATAGCTCGATCAGTCTTATGTTTCAGGATTTTTTTTATGAAAATATGAGAACAAACACCAGTTGGTATAAATCGGCAATATTTTCAGAAAGTCTAGAAAACACACCTGTTAATGCCTAACGAAGTATTTTATCACATATGACGAAGAAAAGTTACTATATTAACAAATGTACATATGATCAATATTCGATGACGAGGAACCCATTTGAGACTTATACCTGATGATGACAAAACCTTGTCGAAACGTTGTACATTTGCTGTTATGTTAAACTTATATTAAAGTTTTTCTTCATTACCCATTCAAGCCGTCTCCAGCCATTATATGATCAATATATTTGGTCATATTCAGAAAGACTAAATAATGCAAATTGAATCGCAATTTGGGCCAACTGTTATGAAAAGTATAATCTGGAAATTGGTCTAAAAAACGAAGCAATAATTCTGAGCACGTCGTCTTTTCTTCCAGCAGATATATTGTTAAGGCCCCGTTTAAATCTTCAACATATTGTTACGTCTCCGTTTGTTAATTGATTTTTCCGTAACTTCGTTCCGAC